CCAGGCGAGAGTGGAACGGAGACTTCCTGAATCTGAAGCAAGATTCATACTCACTGCACTGACGTTCGTTCTACACGGAGTTGTGTAATAAACTTCAATTATCATCAAAAAGAATTTTCTAGAAAGCAAGTGGTTGTGGGATAAAAGTTATCCTGAAGATGGAAGCTGCACATTCCTCTAAAACGCCAGAAATATCTCTCAGACTATACGGTGTCACATCACAGACGACAGCAAATTCTTTAATCTCTCTTTCATCACAATGTTCTCCACTGTAGTGGCAAGATGTGAGTTGTGAGGTTCTCACAGCGGATCTCTGGAATGTCACTGCGCGCAGTTTGACAGATGGTACGAAAGACTTGTTTGATCCTTCTGCTTGTGCATTTCTCTCACTCTCACGGAGCTGAGCCCTTCTTGAGAAGCCGCCAATTGTGCAGCTACTCAGGATCTTCCCAGCATTTTATGGAACCCGAAGGTTCATTACCGTATTCACAAGAGCCCTCCACTTTTCCCTATCCCGAGCCACATCAATCCAATCCATACCATCCTATCCTACTCCTCCAAGTTCCTTTTTAATATTGTCCACCCACCTACGCCTTGGTCTTTCAGTGGTCTCTTTCCATCTGGCTTTCCCACCAATATCGTACATGCATTTCTACGTATTTTCCTTTATTCGTGCCATATGTCCTGCTCAACTCAACCTCCTTGACTTGATCATTCTAATTATACTTAGAGAAGAGCAGGGCCGCGTCATGGCTCAAGTGGTTAGTCGCTGGCTTCTCACCGCGGCGGCCCGGGTTCGATCCCGAGTCTGGTCAAGTGGGATTTGTGGTGGACAAAGTGGCGCTGGAGCAGGTTTTCTCCGAGTACTTCGGTTTCCCCTGCCAATCTTCATTCCACCAATTGCTCCACAATCACCCTCACCTATCATCTGGGGCTGGTACAATAGTCCAGAAGTGGCCGCAGTACAAGGAAGTTAGTCCCACCCCACTAGCAATAAAGAAAATAGAGAAGAGCACAAGTTATGAAGCTTCCCATTATGCAGTTTTCTGCAACCTCCTGTCACTTGCAACCTCTTCGGTTCAAATATTCCCCTCAACACCCTGTTCTCAAACATACTCAGTCTATGTTCCTCCCTTAATGTGAGAGACCAAATTTCACACCCATATAGAACCACAGGCAAAATTATAGTTTTCTGTATTCTAATTTTTATGTTTCTGGACAGCAGCTGCGCCTTTGAGGTTTAAAATTGAAACAACAGGATGCTCCGAAACGGTGTTACGTGCCTAGAATAGTACTGGACGTCGCTTTCGTGAGTAACGTAATCTTAACATCCACCTCCTTGAGAGCGTGAAGTCTGACATCGACAAGTGTTCAGAACCACTATTCCTCTACATGATGAAACATGTTACGTAATAGTAAAATAGTGAAAGGCTGGCTTGGACATTTTGCTGAGGTGTAGCTCCAGTCTAAGCTTTCGGCACTAGACGGAGACGAGAGGTTTGAGTCCGATGTACGTCAATGAAAAGAAACCCTTTCTCCTGGATGAGAGGCCTCCTGGGGCCCAGGGTGAATCTGGGCACAGCAGCGAAAAAACAAACCTCTCTTCCGACCAAGAATCGAGTCCGGATTCTCCGGTCATCGAGCCAGTAACTTAGATTAGACACTAAACTGATGGAAGACCCCAAATGCAAGAAAAAATCTGTCCAGTTCCATCAAGCCTCATCAATGCTGCAGATTTCAGTTTAATCTGCGGAAACCTGACATTCAAAACTTCAGCAACCAGTGTTTATCTTCTTATTTTCCGTGAAACACTCGTTTCACTTCAGTTTATTAACATTATAGAATCGGTAGGACCACTGCGTGACAAGGCAGCTATCTAACACAAACAGATATCTATGCCTTCAGTTGGATTCGAACCCACCTTCCCAGTGTTCGAGCGAGCAAAGACATTTCATGCCTTAGATCGCGCGGCAACCGTGATCGGCAACCAGTGCTTGTAATACTGGCTAATTATATTCTCGTGGTACGATTCTCAGCTATACTTTGTGCTCTAACTGTAATTAATGTGATGTAATTGTGAAGGAGGCGCTGCTTTGATTTCGTGATAAAGGCAAAGATCGGAACAGTGGAAAGTCGAATTGCAGGTTACACCCCAGAGAATGCCAAAACACGAAATGTTTTGCTCCGGGCTGAATCACAAATTGCGGCGGAAATAGCTTTAGGCACTAAAAACAAAATGAAATTCTGAAATATTAGGACATGTGAAAAAGTTCTTATTTTTGTCGTTCTGTTACTCACTTGCTTACAGTTGAGACAAATCATTTCAGCCAATCACAATGGGCACGTAATGATTTCGATCATGCAATCGTGGATTCGAAACTAGTTTGACTTGTGGTTGTACATACCCGTTTTCCTGGAATCTCTTGCTGTTAGCAGATGTCAAGGAATCGATTCTGAATCCAATTAACAATTGATTTATTAAATTAGGAATCGATTTTAAATTAAATAATTCTGAAACCAGCGAGGCCAGAAGGTCTGATAAATATTTAAAATATTGAACAATGAAACGAAAATGCACAACAATAATATGCTTATTAACAATACCCAGCTCATGTCACTGTCGGATAAAATCGCAACCAGTCATGGCTATAATACAAAGAAAACCCAGCATATCTTCTGCCGTTGCTAGGATACGGAGAGAAGGCGAAACCATTTCCTTAGCTGGACACGAGGAGACGAATGTCGACAGGACGGATTAATAAAAGGATCGGAGATGAATACTGTAGAAAGGAGAGAAGGATAAACGGGAACGAAAGAACCGGGTTTAGGAAGCTGCTTTTACGTGACGGAGGTGGGGTAAGGAAGAGGCGTGGATAACAATACGAGGGGGGGAATGGGAAAGGAATATGAGAGAGAGAGAGAGGAGGGAAAGATATACAGAGGTAAATAAGGCAAAGTGGGCCGTGGAGGCCCATAGGGTTGTGAGGCGTCAAAGTTACAACAATTTCTAGACAATCTGCTAACGGATGGCGGTGAGGTTGTCAGCCTTAGCGCCGGCAGCCCTCTGTACCTCCAAGAAGATTCCTGGTACTCATCTGTGTTAAAGGTTGAGTCGATATATAAATGTACGACAGCGATAAACAGAAGGAAGAATGAAATTATGGTTTCGTCATCTTTGACGAGATAGTAGTTGTGGTGTTGGTATATCATTTTAGTCGTTCTGAATTCCGTGTTTCACTGATAACATTGCGAGATTTATAGACTGTGGGATTACATGAAATTACCGCTGATTTCTCTTATGGTATCATTCTTTTAGATAGAATCCAGTAACGGTACTTAGAAACAGAACCAGTTTTATTTCTGCCGGTCCCATGAAAACATATGAGGAACTGTAAAATATTTGAGGTTCTCAAAGCTGTGAATACTGACAGTATACTCTGAAAATGTGAACAGAATGTTCCTCCGAAACATTGTCACCCATCTACTAGAGTAAGAGAGGCTACAACATGAATTCCCCTTTAATGCATTTAAATCTTTAGTGGGATTCGGCGTGTTAATATCAGTTTCCATTGTGTTCGTCAAAAATATTTGTTTTTGTACGTAAATTGTATGTAAGAATTGTTTCCCCGTCTGAGATACATGCCGAGCTAGTGTAACGATTACTAATAATATTCAGAATTACTGGGTTTTTTTACGTTGTCCATTGCCCAGTATTCTAGAAACTAGAAAACATAACGTTTCGGAAACTGGACTTGTTTCCGTCCTCAGGTGAAGTGGGAAAACACCTACTCTTTTGAATACTTGAGAAAGAGCTAACCTCCATCATTGGACAAGCCCCCCTCATCTGAGGACGGAAATAGATCCAGTTTCCGAAACTTTGTATTTTGTAGTTTCTTGAATACAAGACGACGGACAAAGTGGAAAACCCCGATAATTTTAGTGATATACACCATCGTCAGAACCTTTTAGATTTTACTAATAATATTGTTAAAAAAACTTAATTTTATGTGCCCTTACTTTGGAAGGAGATACTCAGATGACCGAGAACTTTTGTGCTTCTATTGAACAACAAAGTTAATTTCCGGGATAAGAAATGCTCCCCATCAGACCTTTACCTGAGTCTCTTCAATCCACTTCCTATTTGTCTGACTTCTATTTTAATATTATGTTTTTCATCTAGGTCTTCCAAATACTGTTTTCTTTTCAGTTTTCTGTAAATATTTTATATGTACATTGCAGTTCTAAATTCGTGCTTCATGTCTTGCCCATCTAATTTTTTTATTTATTCACCTTCAGCATAAAACGCGACAACTTCAAATTAAGGAGCTCCTGATTATTGTCGCTATTATAATTATTATTATTATTATTATTATTCTCGGTGCGCCCTTGCTACCAACCTGGTGGGTAAAGATCTCGACATATTTGCACACGGAGCAGTTTCTCTGAATCATATTTTACAAGCATGTACCAAACCTTTTACAGTGTTACTGGATTAGTGTTCTCATTAACTACAAATGTGTATACCTCGGCTAACTTGAATTTTCTTATGTAGTTGGTATTAATTTATTAGACTTGTTATTAATTTTATGCTATCACTCCCAGGTGTCTTATCTTAGTATCTAGTTGCTAATAGTATTAGCAACATTCATAATAATTCATGATTCATAAATGTATGTATATATTTAAGTCTTCTTTAGATTTATGATCACTGATTTATTTCTGTCATATTTGTATTGTGTTTAATTATTTTTCTATATTTTTATATACTCGTGCTGACTTTGTAATTGGCCACTGTGCTGTTAAGTTATTGCACGTAAATAAACATGAATTGAATTGAATTGAATTATTATTGCCATTATATAGACTATCATATTTTGTATTTTGTTTCTTAATTATTTTTGTGCATTTCTATGTACTCGTGCTAACTTTCTAATTAGTCTCTGGGCTGTTAAGTTTGCACGTAACAAAACATGAATTGAATTGAATTATTATTATTTCAGAAAGCTGCTTTCGTCTGGTCGTCTCCGGCCGAACCATCGCCACATCCCCCACACGTCCACCATCCAGGAGGGGGTGGCATACACCCCGGAGGGCCCGGGGCAGTGGCCGTGTCAGCAGGTAGCAAGCCGGGCGGTGGCGGAGCTCCTGGGGGCCCAGGAGGGCACCAGGGCAACCCCACTCAGGGGCTAGTGCACTGGATGTCCGTGATGGCAGAGCACATGAACAGTGCAGCCGGCAACCCGCACCACGACCCTGCAGCTGCCGCAGCTGTCCATTACATGACGTGGAACGGTGTCGAGGTATGCGATTTTAAACTTTATTGACAAGGGACATTAAGTCGTTAAGGCATTAATCTCTAATACTCTGTTCAGCCAAATATGCCGCACACTACAGCTGCGAAATGTACAAGACATACTTTATTCCAGATACCACTTACACAGGATTTACTACTTAGCTTCTGTCATCGTTGTTGGAAATCTTGAACTCTGATGATCTACTTACCCGTTCTTAAAAATATAAATTTACGGATCTCATTATAACGTTCATATATTCAGTTCAACAAGGAACTGTCTGCTACAACACGTACATTTTATCAGTAAATGATTTATCCCGCTCAACGCTTTCGGCTGTTCAGCCATCCTCAGGGGCACTTACCAATCAGTCCACCAACCGTCGGTGTGATGACACAACGTGTATATGGTCCAAGACAAAAGGAACAGAGAGAAATATAGTACGTATAATACGAGAAAGCTTTCAGAACGTTTCATTGCAACGGCAGCTAGAGGATAGCAACTGTGAAGGGCATGTAAGTTATTTTGAGTCATAAATTACTAAATTGCAGTATCTTACACGTGAATTGTAAAACTGTGACTGAATTCTTTTCAAAATAAAAATATACCGATAGTAAACTCTAAAAACAATATATATATATATTGTGATATGCCGCCTGAAAGCCGGAATATTTGAGCCAATGAGGAAATCCATTCCTGGTCAACGGCTCGCCAAACACACGACCCCGCAGCAACGAACATATGCGGAATAGAACAATTGCTAGGCAACGATTCGGTAACACACGCTACCACGACAACAAACAGAAGTGGAAGTCCGTTACTAGTCAACGGCTCGCCAAACACATTCCTGTGACAGTGGATAAAACAGAAATACACGAAATGTTGGAGATGGTGATCTATATTCGGTTCGTCCGGAAAGTTCAGTTCAGCCCTGGTTCATTCGTAAGAGAAGTAGACAGGAAACACATATCACGTGACCACCGCCCACCGCTGCGTGACGTCACCGCGGACACGGAAAACATAGCCTCCTCTATTGTTGCGAGCGCGTATTTCGGGCGTGGCCTAGAGATGACGTCCTTCTATTATTGTGTGTAGGAACATGTTTATGGAGCTGTGGCCTGGAAATTGGTACTCCCGTTAAAATATCAAAATCCTACAAAGGTCAGTGATAGAATCTCTCTGACCGCAGTTGTTCAGGCGGTCTCTATACTGGTATTACTGACTGCTGGAAATTGAAATGTACGAAGATAGTATAACTATCATAGTTCTCTTGCCAAAATAGATGAAAATCCTTCAATATATAAATGACACTGAAGGTTAAAACATATGGTCAGGACATCGTAAGGTCACATCTCCTTCTGAACAGGAAAAGTAAATTTCTTCCCTGTACACTAAATATAAATTATTGTAAAACAGGCCCCAAGACTTCCGCTTGAGTAGGGAAAGACGAAGAAACAGGAGGATATTAAAAAATAAACGCTTATTGAGTCTTGTGAATAATACATAGAGGACAAGAGGAGATTATGGTGGAAGAGGATGAGATGAAGAAGGAAGTGAGGAAGCAGAATAAGGAAGAGGAGGAAAAGAGGTAGCAGAGAACCCACTGTGTAATTGCCCTGTTTATAACATAATCAGGCATAAGGAATGTGAATTCCTTCCTGTTTATGGTGTACGTTGGACTTTCCCAGTGTGGGAGCCACGGCCCTGCGAGGGGCTATGAAGCCTTTCTGGAGGCCGATGGATAATGGACCGTTAACGAAGTTGCGGAAATATTAGTTTTAATTGTGAATAAAATAGCCTGCAAGAATTACTATTAATGGAAGGAGTATTTTGTAGATATCATTAAGCTTCATTATTAATTAATTAATTTGAATTGCTAAGTCGTATTAGTAGTCATTGTTATGGTTTGGGTGGCGCAGTCAGATAAAGGAAATCTGAGACAGAAAGAGTTTGGAAGCCACTGATGGAAATTAGGTAAAATAACAAACTTCTTATCATTATTTTTACGAGGCGTCCACCTGGCTTATCGAATTCCCGCTGTTAATCTTTGAGCGCCAAAACATGGGCAAGGAAGTGATACCATTTATCAATACCCACATCTGTAAGTCGAAGACCCGACCAGTCTTATAGAAACTAATGTTATGCCTGTGTATGAGGGAAGTTGCTCCAATACTTCGGACTGCCCACGTATATTTACTTAAAGAGTTCTGACCCGATTTAAATCGCCTTTGTTACAGGGGGGGTCTACGCTGAACGTTGTCGGAAAATCTAAATGTTAGTTTCTAACGTCTGAGTACAGTCCCTACATCACCGTAAACCCAAAATTAACTTTATCAAGTTCCTCAAAACAACTTATCGTACGAACGGTAGCGTATTTGGTTGAGGCATTATGCTACAAGCCGGAAGGTCGAGGTCTCTTGTCCCGATGAGGTGGATTTTTTAATTTACCGAATCTTTCCAGCCGCAATATGGCTCTAGAGTCGACTCAGCCTCTAACAAATGAGTACCAGGAGACTTCCTGGGGTTAAAGGGCGGCTGGCGCGTAAAGCTGACAACCTCACCGTCATCCGTGAGCCGATCGTCTAGAGAAAATGTGGGAGCCTCGACTTCTCACAACACTATGGACTTTCACGGCCTGTTACAGGGATAGCTTTAACATCTTAATCAATTCCTCTTGTTTTCTGTGAGATAGAAACACAATTTTCGAAAGTTCTTAGAAGGCCTACTCCTTTAAACCAGTTTTTCACAACCGCAGGACCGCGGCCCGGTACCGGACCCTCGTCTTATAGAAAAAAGAATTAACCGGGCCGCGGTCTGGCAAATGTTGAGAATCACTGCTTTAAACCATACCAGCATCTATATCTATATACACTACCTTCTTCGGGATTAAATGATTCTGCATTATGTGCATATAGCTTATGTTTATGTTTATGATACTCGGAATAAATAGTGATTTTTGAACAGCCTTAAACGGCCTGTCATTGTCAACGGAGACGGAATGTGTTACATGTGCATTGCTTTATCTTTGAAGCATGAATTAATTTTTAAATATTATTTTGAAGAAATTCATATTTCAAAGGGTTTATATGGGATCTTCACACTCTTTGTGTAACGAACAGCCGGCAACAGAACTATAAGGTTTTCTATTGACTCTATCCATCGTCTGGTATATATAAGACAAAAAACCACAAGGTTTCGGAGCCTGGATCTGTCTCCGTCCTCAGGTAGATTGGGCAAGATAGACCTAATCAGTTGGGCCCATTAAAAAGAGCTAGTCTCAATCACTGGACCTAGCTTTTTCTAACGGGCCCAACTGAGCAGGTCTATCCTGCCTCATCCACCTGATGAAGGAGACAGATCCAGTCTCCGAAACGTTGTGGTTTTCTGTCTTATATATACCAGACGATGGATAGAGTCCAAAATAAGCCTTATAGTTCTGTACAGCATACACCATCGTCAGAATCCTTTAAAGTCTATCAGCAGTATCGTGTCTGGGGATGTGTTTTGAAAATTAATGAGTAGATTTGTACAGTAAATGACCTCGCTCTTGACATACGTTTGACTCTTATTTACGTGTCGAAGTGGGTAAAAGAATCAGCAAAATTCAGTGTGCTATAAATTGTAGGTTTATATTTCTGTCTCCTCGTTTATTAGTCGTTCTCAAGTCATTGCCTAACGAATGAGGAACTATTTTATTTATTTTTATTTCCTTGGCACTACAGCCCCAGTGGGCCTAGGCCTACCTCCATGAACTTCTCCGTTCACTTCGATTATTCTAGATCTTACACATTCGGTAGGACTCCTTGGGCCCGTGATTAGCTCGTCGCAGGGCAAACACAGAAAAACGCACACACACAAATTAAACATCCATGCCTTGAGTGGGATTCGAACCCACGATCCCGGTTTCCAAGCGAGCGAAGACAGTACATGCCTTAGACCGCTGGGCTACCGTGACGGACAATGAGGAATTATACCAGTTGAAAAAAGAGAAACTTGCACTGATCGCTATACACCGTGATCTATTTTGCTTTTATTAGCTTTGCCATGAATGTCTGACCATCTGCTTGTTAGCTTGTAACAGCTATAAAATTGGTGAATATATTTTTATGAAATTTTGTATTTGTGAATTTTACTGAAATGTGTTGACATATTCCAAAATTCAACACATTACCTGAGGAACTACGCGCCTTTCTATTCGTAACTCGGATGTAAGAAGCTGAATATTTACCGCGGCAACCAAATATTTCAGACAGAAACGGGGGAGAAGAATGTAACATATATTTTATAGCCAATATACTTTTCTACAAGTCTGTCGTTGTCGAGGTAAATAAACATTGGTGAATTTTATGCTGTGTCATCTAATATCCAGAAACTATTACAACTCAATGCGCCAGAATTTTTATGCTATTTGAACATTTTCCACTTGTTCGTTTAGTGCGCGTTATAAGTGTATGTTTGTGAATGCGTAACATGAATCTTCATGGGGGCAAAGGGCTACCGGCTTGTAAGGCTGAAAACCTTACCGCCATCTGCCAGTCGATTGTCTAGAAAATGTGGGAACCTCGACGTCTCACAAACCTATGGGCCTCCATGGCCTGTTACAGGGATAGCTTTACCTATCTCTCTTATTATCCTCCCACCTGCGTCTAGGTCTTCCTAGTGGTCTGCTCCTTACAGAGGGTCCCACAAAAATATTGTTTGTGTTCCTTCTCTGTTCAATTCGTGCTACATTCCATGCCTACATAATCCTCCTTGACTTGATCCTTCTCATTATGCTTGCCGAAAAATACAAGTTAGAAGTTCCTCATTATGCAGTATTCTCCAACCCCCTGTCACTTGATCCCGCTTCTGTCCAAATATTGTCCTCAGCACCCTGTTCTCAGTATATTTTCTTCTCTTAATTTTGGGGACCAAGTTTCACACCCATGCAAAGCTGCAGGCAAAAATTATAGTTCTGTGTTAAGATCTAAAAGTTTATGACGATTGTGCATTAGTACAAATATTATGTT